GGGACTCCTAAATACCGAAAACATCCTTAGGGTGATCTCGTAGTTCATACAAGGGGGAGACGATGGGATCGGTCCATGAATTTTCCTTTCTTTTGTCGCATTTCGCTCAAGTAATTAAAGGGAGATAGTGCATCAAGTTGTTAGTAAAGACCAACCTAATCATCTTTTCCAAGGATCCCATATGAGGGAACTCTAGTAAAGCCATTAACTCTAACTAATGTTCACGTACGATCCGTACTAGATCTAACAAACTAACAATCTTATTTTCTCTACGTTCTTAAAAATTTATTTTTGTGTCAGTATAGCAAAATTAAAAAATTCATAATAAAAATATTTAATTTTTTCTAAAGAGAATCGAATTAGAATTTAACATATAAATCAACACTTATTTACTGATATGCTTCATCTTAATTTTTATATTTTTATTTTTTGTCAGTCTCATTTAAAATAACATAATTCAATTTTTTTTATATAAATAACAAAAATATATGAAGAAAAATGAACAAAAATTCAAAATTATATTATAAATTTTATAATAAATTTTATTCGACTCAATTTTTATAGTGAGAAAATATCTCTAAGACAAAAATAATATCGTATTAGTTTAATTGAGACCGATAATTTTGTGTATGAATGAGAGAATATGCTCAAGAATGCATTTAAAGATAATTATTTGTATGTAAAATATTAAATTGCCTAAAACCAAAATAAAATTTCAAAACAAATAAACCCCACAAACATAATATGCTAAATTCATATATGCACCCATCACAGAATAGATATACCCAATAATCATTATAATCAAACATTAATGGCCTGAGTAATTTATCATAAATTTGTTATAATTTTTAAAAATATTATATATATATATATATATTTAAAATGATCGGGAAGCATTTTAGGGCAATAAAATTACACATATTACATATATATTTAAATATTTTATATCACTAATTATTATTTAATTAAATAATTAATCCGTCTAATCCTCTAAAAGGAATTGTAAATTTGAGCGGGTAGTAGTTTTCTGTGTAGTTGTCCATGGAGAAAAAAAAGCCAAAAGCAGCGGTTAAAATTTTCCTTTTCTACTTTCCTCTCTTAAAGAAACAAAATGCACAGTACAGTGTCCGAAGAGAAGATGGAGTTGGTTATGGATGCCGAGCTTTCCTTCAAGCTTCTTCTCTCCTGCCCGTTCGGTCTCTCTCCATCGCAGGTTCTCCTCGTTGTATCCTCTCTTTTGTTTCTTTAACTCAATGTTCAGTAGATCAAATTACATACATCAATACAGGTATAAAACGCAGATATATATATATATATATAAACACCTATAAGAAAATATATAGGCATGTAGATAAACATCTAAGAATAGTTAATCTAATGTGTATATATACGCTGGTGTTGATGGTGAAGGTATCCGTGGAATTTGACGAATCGTATGATAGGATTCCTCATCCGGATGTTAATTTGGAAAATTCTATTGCCGAGGTGAATCTCTAAATTAGCGAGTATTAATTTACTATTTCGATTTACGTTTTCTGTGTTTTAAAATTGAATGTAGTTTGAGTTGCTGTTCTATGTTCCCGATTGTGAGCTTAGACGCTTCTGTTGCTTTATTTGATCCCATTTATGTGTTATTGTCGTAAGAAATTGAATTTGCTCACTCTGTCCATCTCTTTTTGTTCTTGGAATTGTAATGTAGTAGTTTTGGTTCTGATATCATATAAGCAAGCATTATCTCAAAGTTGATGGATCTTCTCATGATTACATCTTAGCGATCCTGTGAGTAATGACAGCCATGTCGGTTACTGTTAATATGCAATGTTTTTAGGGCTGTATATTAGTAATTCCTTTTTCTAAATCAAAGGCAAGATATCCAGTTAGATCATTGACAAGTTCATCAATTCTTTTTTGTTTTCCATTTTTCGATTTAGATATGGGATCAGAGATTACGGGGAAATTCATCATTGTACAATGGCAAAAAGTTCAGGGTATGTTGATCTCATATGATTTCCTTTTAAGTGTTTGTTTATGCTTTAGATTTCATTATTCAGTTGGCACAAATTACTACAATTCTGTTTCTCTTCTTTGGTGATGATTTGCTTGCATGATGGAAAAGATTGGGATGTATGTTACACAAATGATTGAGATGAGAACAAAACCATATATATATTATATTTCTCAATTTGAAGGCAAAAGAAGAATCTACTGTACGTATAAAATAAGCAGCACTTGTTGCAAGAGTGGGTCACATGGGAAAATAGAGATGTTTTGTTTCCCAATGATAGCACTAGCTTCCTTGATGATTGTTGTAGTATAGTGTTTTTATCAAAATTTATTTCAAATTTAATATTTATACTCCAAAATGCACATATATTGTGATAAGCAAGAAAAATCATAAAGATGCTCGTGTTGAGAATTGGAACAATCCAGTCGAATCATTTCACATTCTATGTATACATTATGTTGGGGAATCTAAATACTAATTTTTGATAAATTTCTTAAGAACTAGTAACATTTGTTTGTTTTTTATTTATTTCAGTATGGAGGATATGTTCTACATGGTGATGGTGATAGATCTGAGAAAGAGTCTTATGTATGCCTCCACCTTGGTTTAACCGATTATAGGTGTGTCTCTCTCTCCTCTCTCCTAAGTTCTGATAAATTTTGATTCTATTGCCTGTAAATTCAAGGACTTTTTCTTTATGATGATTTTAAAATCTAACAGTATTTTAACCTACTATTATATGGATGTCACCATCCAACCGATACACAATCAGTCCTCCACGCATTTCATTTTTCAAGTTCCCTTTAATGGATGAATAGCATATCTTTTAGAATTTATTCTAAGTAGTAACAGCCTCTTTAAATCTATTCTTATAGTTATATGATGTTTTTTTTTAAAAATATATAGTTATATCATGTTTTCCATTAGATGTTTTAATTATATTACATTTTTGTTTATATTCTAGAGAATGATGATCGATTGCTGCCTACTTGTTTCCCAGGACCTTTGTAGGTACAAATTTAAATCCTTTGTGGGATAAGTTCCTGGTTCCTTCAGAAGGTATATTCATAAGTCTGTATTAATTCAAAATTAACATCTGAAGGACTTTTATGTTGTTCATGCTTCATGTTTCAACAAATATAATATTGCTTTGGCGCCCCAGTTTTCTTGCATTCTAAATCACATTGAGAGTATCACTTGATCAATGTTTTAAGGAATTCTGAGGCATGTAATTGTTCACGTAAACGTCTATTTTTCTTCAAAAAGTTATGCAATAAATTATTACATGACTGGCCCTGTCTTATGTAACTATACATTTTTCAATTTTTAGGTGATAGGCTCAACTTTTATGTAATACATCACAATTGTGCTGCTCAGGAGAAAATTCCATGACATTGTCAGGCATACAATAGCTATTAATAATCATTTTAACTTAACTTCACTTTTCTTTAGATGACACTATAAGGTGTCAACACACCTCAAATCCACTGGGTAATGGTGCTGTTGTGGAGACAGCTGATGGCAAAATAGTTGTTCTACAAAGAAGTGATAAAGTAGGAGAATTTCCTGGACATTTTGTTTTCCCAGGGGGCCATCCAGAGGTATTTAATGTGGAATACAAATATCATATCCTCTCTCTTTCCAGTAGCTATGCAGAGTAGTTAGTTTCTGATAAAACAATTTCTTTTCTTAAATATTAAGTATAGTTGGGATTACAAAAAAGTTTTTATCCTTTTTCCTGCTGGAAAGAACTTATACTAACATTATCTGGACTTAATAGTACTCTTCTAATGTTTTGACAGCCTGAAGAAGTTGGTCTAGCAAATCATGAGCACAGCAAGGACTTGACAGATTCTGAGCATGTCAATAAGAAGGTTTCTCAAGAGATGTTTGACAGTATCATTCGTGAAGTAGTTGAAGAAATTGGAGTCCCCAAAAAATCACTTGTAAGTTATTTTGACCTCTTGTCGATATGTTGAAGTTTGCTTAATTTCTTAGAGTTATTTTTTCCTTTTTCTCTAATCTGTTGTTCTGGTTCCCTCTTTCCTTTTTTGCAATAGTTTCACTTTTTACAAATTATAATATGGGATAGGTTTCTTTGCTAATATCTTCATCAAGAAGACAGTTGAAAAGGAAAAATATCAGATTTTATGAGTTGCAGATTAGAATGGATATCACTCCCTTCCCATGCTAGATATTTGTATAGTTTCTTTTATTTCCATTTTTTTGACTGAGAAACTGTAACTAAGAGCGTATGATCATAACTTAAAGAAAAACGATGCCGAGGCATTGTGATAGCAGCTAAACTTTATGTAGCAGAATACTATTATTCGTGTAAAAACCTAGAATTTATTGAATATGGAAATATTAAATTCGGTAACTATAGCAGAAGCAATTTTAGAATTTAAGGTTCATATTTCTTACACAGTAAATCAGTATACCCAATAGGGTTACGAGAATGTTCTTTTTAAGAAGGTTCAAATAACGTAATAAGTATATAAAAGAAAACGTAACTAAAAATCCTATAAAATTGACTTCCGCTGGACAACTCTGATGAGATTCAGGAGTTAGCTTTTATTTACAACTTTCTTGTTATTCAGGATCTGGATTTTGGTATTTCTGATCTGAAATGGTTAAATAAGTGGATGAACTACATTAATTCAGTAAGAATATCACACTTAACACCGATACGGAAAACTAAAGGTTGGTAAAAATTGTCAAACAACCAATGAAGCCATTATTTCTTTTTAAATAAATTCGTTTAACTTAAAAAAAACCATTATTTCATATTTACCTTTATAAGTTTACAAAATCGACCTATAAAAATAATAACTCGAATAACATTATGATTTTATATACAAATGAGCAATAACAACTTACCTTCTTACCTGCTTACTAGTAGGCCTGGGGGTTCATAGGAATCCCCCCTACGCGTGGACTCAATATCCAAGTTATCGATTAACCGGTCGTCCTCATACTCCGTCCGATAATGGACGCCAAACATACCATCATTTCAATACCCCGTCCTGTATGAGGGTAAATTATACCTCCCAATCCTTTTCGGTATGAGATTTCTTAGTCCCATTCGACTGAAATAATGCCTACGGTAGAATTTTTCCTATGCACCGGATCCGTACACCCTTCCTTAGGGTACCCAATAAGTCTTTCATATATAAATTCACATAATCAATCAATCACCAATTACATATCAACATCTCATTTTTACCAATCAACAGTAAATCATACAAATAGACAATATGTAAATTAAGAAAACATGATTAAGACATTTATTTTAATCAATCGGCAAATAAGAGAAATAGTTAGGCAATCAATACTAAAAGGACAATAAATCTATAAATAAAATTTTACGTGGCAAACCAATAAATATATCCTACTAATAGATAAACAGTATTGACAAAATAGGTAATTTTGTACTGATCAACTACCTGCTCCACTGGTGACTTATAATTAATTTTAAGATTTTATAGTTTCATGCTAATTTTTATAAAATACAACGTTATTAATTATTGAACTTTAATTTACTATAACGGATAAAAAGGTGAGAGATTTTTATCCTAAATCGGTATCCGAAACACCGTACTTTTCACTGTGCCTCATGGTGGTTTTTGAGTTTCTAGGATTTTTTCTGCGAAAATAAAAAATACGCATCACGTATCCAAAAATATATCAAAAAGGCCAAAATAAATGTTTTTGAACTTTTCCGGCCAATTTAGGGTTTCGGCATGGCGACGTTGCCGGCTTCGCCGCCCACGGTGGTGACTCCTCTTGGCCTGACCCATTTTCGGTCGATTTAGACCAGTTTTGGTCGGTTTTGCATGGAAACCTATGAAAAAACAAAGTTAGGGGGGTCTCTGTTGGTCGAAAAAGGGAAAAACCGAGACCTTACCGATGGAAGGATCTTCGGGTGTGGCGGCTCTGCTGTTTCTCCTTTGCGATCAAGGTGTTTCTTCGGTTAACTTGCACCAGAAGGAAATGAGGATCACAATGGTCAGAAAATCGAGGGAAATGGGAAACGGGAAGGGGATCATCAGAGGAGGTTTCGGATTTTGGCCATGGCGGCTCAGCTGAGCTCCACTCGTGTTTTCTGGCTCACCCGTCGGCCTTTCGGCTCCGATATGGGCATAGAGAAGTTCGGGATTAAATTCCAAGCGGAGGGAAGGAAAATCTTATCTTTTTGGCGTCGGTGGTGGCTCCAGTGCGGCGTCGGTGGTGCCAATGCTGCGGCGATGGTGGCCGGTCTCCTTCTCCGGCGTCTAGTTCACTTCCCCGCCGCCCCTCTTCTTTATCTCCGATCACCCTTTTGTCGATTCCCTGGGAAGAGGAGTTTAAATACTCATCTTCATTAGATCTGGATCATCTGTAGAGGCGACTTGACCCATCCGTAACTGTTGGATCTCTCTTATTTGGAGCATTAATTTGGGCTACACAATCTGATCAAATCCAGCCGTTCAATCGTGCCTGAAGAGGGAATGCATATGGGTCGTCCATGTGCGCGGGATGCGATCTGAGCCGTTGGATTCGCTGACACATGGATCACCCGCGTGGCCTCCCGTATGAAACCGGTGTCAGCGTGTTTGCCACGCGACGCGTTCTGACTCGTCATTGCTGCTGATGTGGCCGTCTCACGTGGCTGTATTTCACATTTTTGCGATTTGACCCTTTGTTTTAAATTTCTCTTTCAAGCACCCCCTTTTATTTACAGTTTCATCATTTTTTAAAAAAAATTGATTTCAAACTCATCCCTAAATCCATATTATCCAAAAATTTCATAAAAATAACAATAAAATTATTTTTAATACCTTTTTTCATTAACATCAAATTAGCCTGGGCCAAATTTCGGGGCTGGGTGTTACAATTCGAGGGTCATTATGTCTAGTTGACAAATAACACCTCTTTGAGGATCTTTTGATATATGGATGAATAAAAAGCAGCACAAGGATAAAATCTTATTACTAACAATAGGGTGTTGAATTGATACTAGCAGTATGATTGTTCTCATATGCAGCAATGACCAATTACCCATGGAATACTTTTTTTGGGTAAGAAGGCTATTAGTTGAATATGCAAGACAAGACATGATTTTTTTTTGAAATAAAAAGTAGACAAGACATGATGTTGTTTGTTTGATATAGATTTCCCAAAGTGGTGCCCACTTGGCCAAATAAAGTATTCCTCAACAGATAATTAATTCAGTTGGGATTAAGCAAACGGCCAGGAATTCAATTCTGTAGTAATATCCACCGTTGGAATGGATATTGCCATATTGAACAAAGTGTATTTCCTTTATTGCCATATTGAACAGTTTAGTTTGTTTAGAAATTGATCTTTATCTTTCAATTAAGACAAGGGAACCATTTTCTTTTCTGGCCCCTATTTTTTTTGAAGACTCACAATCTTCTTGGCATAGTGTATTTCTTTTTTTTTTTTTTGAAATAAGGCAAAGTGTATTTCCTTTAAAAGGATGTTCCAGGAAATCATAGTGTATAATAACTTCATCTAAAAAATAGTGTATAATAACTCGTCATAAATAGGATGTCACTGGCTTTGTAAGCTTCAACTTTTTTATCATTTCTTTTATGGTATTCCTTTGCTATTTGGAGGAAGTATGTTTTCGGTGCTGCTGGACTCAACAAGTTTCTCTATTAATTAGTTAGTAGCTTTTTTTTTTCTTGAAGGAGACACTATACATCTGATATTAATCCACTGGTGTCTTGCAGTGCAATCCACTTTTCCTCGGTATATCTCGTAGGGTGTTGAATGTGAGACCTGCGGCTTTTTTCTTTATCAAATGCAGTCTCAAGTCAGAAGAAATTCAACAATTATATTGTAGTGCACAAGACAGCTATGAATCAACACAACTTTATACAGTATCAATGGTTTGTTCAGCTAATGCTTTTTAATAAGTAAACTCTGCTTCATTTTTGTGTACCTTAAAATTTTTTCAGACATGGAAATTACTTGTTCACTTTTTTTGTAGTTGTCACAAGACTATAGTTGGGCTGATGGGATTTTTTTCTTGTGATAGATATGGTGTTAATGGTGATAATGCCGTGTAAAAAGTTAACACTCCGAGGGGTGTATTCTTAAAAAATTGCAAACTGGATGTTAGGAGTGGATACTTGAGAAGAATTAATGGATTTAGAATTGTAGGATTTAGGGGTAAATGGTAGGGTAATTTAGGATTATGAGGGAAATTCTACTTGCCTCAAATGATAGCCTCCATTTATGCATTGAAGTGAGAGTTCATTCCAATGCGCTAAAACTTAGGTTGGCACTTGGCAGGGACAAGAAAATAGGCTGTAAGTATAAGAATGGATTAGTTAGGTAGGATAAAGTTTCTAGAAATTTCGTAAGTCAGATAGATTCTTTTAAGAGTTAAGCGAGTATCAAAAAAGAAGTGAATGGGGGTTTAATTAAGTGAAAAGTAGTTGTCAAATTTTTTTATGCAGATTAGTCCAATAGACAGTTTTTCATCCTGCTTTATTCTGGAAATTTGGTTAACACTGCTGATATTAATTTTTTCAGTTTTTCATCTTGAAGTTAGTTCGCTGACTTTTCAGTTCTCTTATACATCAGATTGAGTTGGAAGACATGACATTGAACATGCCTGGATGTCATCAAGGTGGATTTGCTCTGTATAAACTAATGGTAGAAGCTTCAAAAAATAACTGAAAGGAGATCATGAGTGCTGATGACTTGAAGTTTCAGAAATATTATTATGGCTACCAGTCTCTTTAATTGGTACCTATTCTGCTGCTGACGGAAAAAAACAGAATTGAAGGCATTGTTTTTTTTTCTTAGATGTCTGCAAATAAAAGGCATGATTATGCAATGTATTTATTAATCTTTGCTACCTGATGTCATAAGCGCGTCCAATAAATGTTCTTGTTTATTAATCAAGATAATTTTAAATTTTTAAGTGATTGGCATGATATTCAGCATCTTTACTTCTAATAGTAACAATATCATATTGTTTGTACTACATAAATGGCTTCCTTCCATGCACATGCATTTGAATTCTAGTGTTGCATTAGGTAAATGGTTCTTTTAGCCTTTTCCGTAATTGTGATGCGCATCACATGAACCATTGAGAGAGGAGAAGTTACCTACTGGATAGGTCCAGCTAAATCATGTTCTTTGTTTTTTTTTTTTGGGTGGTGGATACTTGGAGCCCTGGTACTAGTTTTAGAGTTGTTAAATTCATGTATATAATGTCTTGATTATTTATAATCAGTGAAGTTCAACCTCAAACTTGAGAAAATTGGATTCACTTGGAAACATTTAGTAAAGGTGACTCAATGATGTGAATATTGTTGTTGCAGTCTGGATTATA